AAATCTGAATTCATTCATCTGCATATCCCCCCCCTCAAGTGTAATTTTATTGACATTTTTCCCGTCGATCATTATCTTTTCCCATGTTTACGACTCTAATTTACAAAGCAAAAGAACTACCTTTTCTTTTTATGTATAGTTATTCTCCTGTTAAAGGTACTCCATCCGTCGATTTTTATAAACAATAACTATTATTTTTTTCTTGTATCTAAATATAAACAATATTTACAAATTGTTTTAAATTTTTGTCCAAATTCTTTATTTTACTTTTATTAATTATTTATTTTAATACTTAATACCATCATCTATTTCCATCATACAATCTCTTTCTTTCATTATTTTCTTTATTATAATAATTTTTTCTCTTCCTTATATTCTCTTCTTTCCATAAATAAAAGTATTTTAAAGATAGAACTTCTAATTTCTACTCATTTATTATTTTTAAGTAACTTTTTTATCTACGTGATGGAATCCAAGGCTGCTTATAAAAAAAGGACGGACTGAGTATCATATTTAAGAGTTGAGATACTGTCAATAAATGTGAGCATAGCTTTTAACAGGAATTTAAATATTAATTTGTCATGTTAGTTGATAACTACTACTCTTCCGATTCTAAATATAATATCCATTTTATAATATAATTTATACTATAAAATAGGTTTTATATTTAGAACTGAATGGAGTACTTCTTTTGGTCTCGCAAAATTAATCAGAATGGCCTGGGCTCTGACTTATATAGACACATATTTTACAAATATTATCCAGCCAACTTTGCGTATTGATGAAAACAATTAGGTTGGGCTAACCTATTCGTACTTGGGCCGAAGAGCAATTTTGTATTATCACTGCCAATTCTCTCAGGCCCAACAAATTCTCGCGTCTCAGCTCTTGCCAAAAAAAAACTTTCGAAGTCGCGGAGGCTTCTATGCATACATGAACAACGCAGGAAAAACTAAATTGTAGGCAAAAAGGGAGGAAGACAGGCGATAGTGGGAAGCAACGTAGCAGCGAGAGCATAAGTGTTGGAATTCTGAGATCATGTGGTCCCACCTTCCACTGGTTAAAGAGACTCATCCACTAATTAACACTCAAATGATGTGCTGCATTCACTTTCCGTCTGTACAGAAACTACGACAGTAAAATTAGAATAATAATGAACAGTAAAAGCAGGTCCAAGAAGGCGGAAATTATAAAGCGAGGGGCGAAAAAGTAGCAAAAGGAAGGATGGATCAAGTGGAAGATGAGTTGGAAGCTCCCAGCTTGAAGAAGGAAATGAGGGAGCTTATTGCGAAGGCAACGAAAGCCAGAAAGGCCACCGCAATGGAAGCACTCGCCTTCTCTGTGAAGTCGTCTTTGCCCCAGTTTGATTCCCAGTCCTTCACCCTCGTCGCTGCGCTTGATGACGCCGATACCAACAGATACGCCACCACCTGTGTATTATACATATATTCGCACTTCAATAATAATCCATGACTTATTCTTTTCTTCAGCTAACATGCATCTTAATAAGGTGAGGGTGTGATATAACTTGCCTGATCCATGAGATAATCAAAATGAGAGCGGAGATTGGGATTGAAGAAGCTTTTGTTTTTAGCAGACACGAGTTGATACGCCTTCTCACAAGCTTGAAATCCTGAGTATACACACCCTATCACATTCACTCCTAAACAATACCTGCCATCATCATTCATAAGTATATGATGATCATTCGTTAATATTACTCTCTTTAATTATATATATATATTTGCTTACACACGCAATGATCGATGTGATGAAGAGTATTATCGTACCTGTATTCCTTGTAGCGATAGAAGGAGTCACCAGCCCAACCTTGGCTCCTGTCCGTGGCCATTATCGAAGCAGAGACTAGACATAACACCACCTCGCTCATTCTCAACCCTAGCTCCGTCGTCCTCACCACCGTCGACGTCTCCCTCTTCAACGCTGCTGCAACCGTCTCCGCCGGAACTCCTTGCTGCTGATTCTGACTGTTATCCCACTGCACGTCCGGTGTGTTCTGAGCCGTGTGGTAGCGTGACCCTGGTGTGTCACCTGCAGCGTGATGCAGCTCCGACTGATGACCCCCACGAGACTCCCGCTTCATGCTTGCCATTTCACTATTGCTAGTTCTTCGGACTTCAATTCAGGATCGTGAAGACATTAAAAGGAAAGGAGCAGAAAATTTAGTAAATAAATTACAAGCCAAAAGAGAAAGGGTGGGAAGAAGAAGAGAAGACCGTGTAAAAAAAGTCTAAGGCTTTAGTTACTTCCTCGTGTTTCTCAGCTGTAGGGCCATGCCAAGTCGATTTGAGTGTTCCAGTGGGGCCAACAAAGGCTCTGGTCAATGAGCTTGCAACCTAATAAGCCAATCATGCAGATTTCTTTATGTGGCATGCTTTTATTGGTGGAGAGCCTGCGGGGACAAAATCAAATTGTGCATCTTATATAAGATCCCACCAAACTACTAAAGTAAATCACATCTAGATATCCTAAGCATCTTCTTTATGCTCGTCATACTTTCACTTAAAACGATCACTCAGCGTCAGCATCACATAAAGATAGGCTTTGAATTAGAAAGCTTTCCCCTCACAATCTATGCATAATGCGTTGTCTTTTAGGTCGAAATTCTGGTGTCTCCATAATAATGTACAGACAAGATAATGGGATCAATACAAATACAAAGAAAATCGAAGTGGGGCCTCGCAAAAAGCTTAAACAGGATTCATTGATGAAAGAATTATCAATTTTCTTTCAGACTAAGCTTTCCCAACATTGGTCTGCTGGAAAGTGGAAAAATCTCTGCTTTAATAACGTCTTTTCGTTCATATGTATAAAGAATATTGGGGAAAGCAACCTACTGATGCCAAATAATGGAGCCTTTGCCCTTTATCTCCCAATACTTCTTTTTTATATCTTTCTTATTGCACCATTGTTTAATTTGGTCTTTTATACAGGAATCTGAGTACTACAAGCAACAATAGCTACTTTCTCCCCAACTTTTGAAGTAAGAAATCGTCTACGTCATCAACACGCTCAAACATTCGGAAAATTATGAAAATGTGAGAGCTTCGTCGTTTTAGCTCGTGTATTTCTTGCTTTGCATCAAGCATGAACACTATTCTGGGAGGAAAAAAACACAAAGAAAACATCAACACTAGAAGCGAAGGACGTAACCACACGAAACAAGAACAGAGGCGGCGACAAAATTGAACATAAAACTATGATAAATTTCAACTTTGTTTACGTCTTCGTCAGAAAAAGAAAGGGGCTTGCACATATGCGGTTCTAATCAATGTTCGTTGCACCCAAAATAGGAAAAGGACTGGCATCAGTTATTTTTGTAGTTCTCTTCCTGCATGAAAAGAAATCCTTTTATTATAACAGGACCACTTAGTGAGGAATTTCAGAGTTTACAATCCTTCTCACTCTCATTCCTCGTATTTACAGTTTGGCAATGTTAGCTGGTGTATATTTAAGGAATCAAATTGAGACCCAACTTATGCATCATTTACGTTATTTTGCTGAGTGATGCATAAGTACGGTCCTCCAGTTACATGAACAAGTGGATCACTTCCCAAATTGGAAGAGCGGTTTTCTACTTGATCACTGGTATGTTAATGTTATGCTTCATATTGTGCCCTGATTCTCTAGAGAGTTACGGTCTATTTTAGCTTGGGTTGGCAACACGATTGTTAGTCTTGGTCATAAAACGAACATTTATGCGTTGGGATGTTGGATTAATTTTTGAAAGCTACTTGAGAAGTAATGCAGCTTGTCACATAGTTGACCCAGCAGGCTTCTATCTAACTATGTCCATGGTGGCTGTGAACCAGCTTTGATAAATTTTACAAGCTTAACCCAAGTTATTAGTCCATCCACAAATCATCCTTCAAAATATCCAGGAAATGTTGGAATAGTTTAGGACATCTAATATATTCTTAGTTCTTCTTGAGCCAAAAATATATATTCTCAGTTTCTTAAGCCAAAAAATATATATTCTTAGTTCTTCAGCTCTGTATCGAGTTTGCAGCCTCAATTTCAATAGGTCATCCTGATCCCCAAAAAAAAAAATTTTGGGGCAAACCCGCCCATTTGCCTTAAATAATAAAAAAGGTTGTGATTTTAACTGTAACAAAAATACAATCTAATTAGAGAAATGAGAGGATTTGAAAGAGCCTTTAAAATTGAACTTTCAATGGTGATATACCAAATACAATCTAATGAGAGTTTTGTTTTATTAGGTGTATGTGCTTATAAGTATTTAAGATAAGAAAATGCGAGCAGGGCCATAATGATCTGAGGCTTAACACCTGTTATTTATAATGAGTGTATTATGTACAGAGAGCCTGTAGGCTATATCCATGTAAGCTAATCTAAACGGGAACCACATGCTTAATTAGTTATTTACAGCTAATATACAGTTGTTATAAAGATTTACCATTTTATTTCTACTTATAAGTCACTTATATTCAATGCCCACAGATCAAGAAATACATTAAATTGATAATTTTCTTTTAAGATTTGCTCTTATTAAAAGAAGGGTATTAAAAACTATGTTTTATATTTTCTTTTACCTATTCAAGTCAACAGGGGTAAAAATGAAAAAAAAAATTAATAATTATCCTACAACTTATATTTAGCAACAAATTTAAATTTTTTTTTCAATACAAGTGATTTATAAATAGGAACAGAGTGATATTCTACTTCTAAAACAACTATGGGCTCGCTGGGCTTAGAACACTGGGCCGGGTAACTGTTTAACAAATCTGATCAGAAGTAATTGGGAGTTATCCAGTACAGCAAATAACAGCAACAGCAAGACCTGTTATAATTAGTCCATGGTATCCAATTGATTTTCCTCCTTTAATTCCGGTCGAATAGCCAAAGAAGCGTACGAAGCACTAATCTCATAAATTGAGATCTTAAATCTTTAATAATTGTTTCACTTGGTTTGATTTTAAATTTCCTAGTATTGAGTTCTAAGTTAAAGTCATCATGCATGCATAACTATTATGGATAGAATTTCTGTTTCGATCTGTTGGTCAAGATAACAATACATGATAAATCGATAATATCAAACTGATTCATCAATACCCTCTTTTCTGCTTTTGATTAGAAGGGAAAAGTTAATTACAATTTGGGGGGTTCAAACATTTATATACTGCAGATGCGGGCTGCTTATAAGTGGGAATGCTTTTGATGTCAACAAAACGGACTTCACCAGGCGCAAAAGACAGGTCCCTGTGCCTGAAATATCAAAGAAGCAGAAAGGTAAGCAAGTTGTGAAAGGATCTAACCTCATTTATACTCTGAAGAGTAGAATGATAGAGTAAATGGTTTATCAGTAGTACAGTCAATTACCTTCGCAAGTCAAGTCCTATCAAACCGGCCTGAAGAACTGTCAAATTGTCAGAATCTGGGGAAACTATAACCACAGTATCGCCGGAGTACTGAGTTTCGAGAATTGACATGAGTTGTGTTACTCGAACAAAAACATCACTAACACTCTCATTTGGAGTTCCATCATCCACAGGAGGTGGTTTGCTGTTTGGAGAAATACCATCTAATGCATATATCTGTGGAATTCAAACGATACTGAAGTTTAGTAGATCACACATAACACCATTATCCTATAAATTCCTCTAAGCTATGATAGATAATGGTAGTAAGGAAATTGATCTAACAGAATATGCATCCAAAGCAGCTAAACAGCCCAGGGAGAAATCTTACTTCTGACATGGATTCCAAGTTTTTGCCTTCATAAGCACCCAACCCACGGGCATCCAGAAAGCTGTATTCTGGGACTATAAAACTGAAATGAAAGAAATCGACAAGGACGCTCAGCTCTTGTGCAGCACAGCCTGGCTCTAAGATGGAATGGCACATTTTAAGTGAAAAATATTGCTCTGGATGTCTTAAAAGTTGAAACCATGTAAGCAACATTTCAAACGATCCTCTCTGTTAGTGTGACTGTGTCAATGAAAAAAGCAGATAAATTTGTCACTGGAAAACAACATAGGACAAAACGTTGGTGCAATGTTCATGGATATTAATAACAAATGTTAAGTGGATATTACTTATAGCGAGAATCAGTCTTGTCCTCCAAAGTATAGTCGCTCTAAGTGATCTGACATATCAATTAACTTCTAATAGTAGGATCAGAAGCAGTCCATTCAACAAAAGGTGAAAATAAAAATAAAAAAAAAATTTTGTAAGTATATCTGTAAGTATTTTTTTGAGTGTAGAGACATATTCTAACTCTGATAAATCCTGGAACCCAACTCATCTATATTTTTGTAACAAAAAAAAATTGCCTTGCCTGGGTTTTGATTTTACTTATTAATACACAATACTGCAGAATTCGAACCTGTTTCTTAGTATAGTTTGAAATCAAATGGCGTCAATCTTTCTGCATACTTGTCCCACCAATTTTGTATGGAGAGTTTAAGATCTCTTGAAATAATATAATTACTTCTATGCTTTAGGAGATAGTCCTCTAGTCTTTGATATAAGATATATTTAATTAATTTGATTAGATTAAGAAAGTTAGATAAGTTACTTAATTATAAGAAATATGACACGTCTTTTCTATCAAATCATCTTTCTTAATATCTTCCTCCTTCTTCTACTTGATTATGGTTGGAGAGTATCCATAAGAGTATTTAGAAAAAATTAGAATAAATATAAGATAAATATAGATAGAAATAGATAGGATCAAAATTAATTCAACAATTAAATCCTATATTAAGGACTGGAAGAGTGACTTTTTTATATATTATTTCATACAATGAAAAAATAATTTTTAAACCAATTCAAACAGTGACTTCTTTTAGCTGAATTAATTCAAACGTTGACTTAATTGGAGGGATTAAATTTAGTTTTGGCATGGTGTGACATTGCGAAAGCTCTTCGCGCCTTAATTGATGAGCAATAGGGTTGAATTCCAAATTGAATTACATTGGGAGATCCGAAGATTTGTGACTCAACACCAACCCCTCGTGGGCATGTTATTAATATTTTTTTATACCAGAAAGTGTTTATTAATAAATTAAATATTACTCAAAAGGACTTGTTCCATGCGGAGTCCCATCAACCTCGTCGGCCGCAAACTATAGAAGCCATCTGGATCGCATGCTCTGAATTGACAATTTGAAATAAAGAATTTGTCCTAAGAAGTCCCACCAAAGCAACAGGTATCAAAAGGGCTTTTTTATCCAGACACGACAAACATAAAAAATATTTACTCAGATGCTATAAGATCAAAAATATTTACTCAGATACACACTTGAAATCGTTCAGATAGTGAACGAGTTTAAAATTTGTACAGAAGTTGTTCAGGCCAAAAACGACTTCAGTGGGACCTACATCTAAAATATGAAAGTTGTTCTTGGTCTGAACAACTTCAGTGGGACCCACATCACAAATGGAAGTTGTTCTTGGTCTGAACAACTTCAGTGGGACCCACTATTTGTCTTACACTCCATGCGTTTTCAGCTTTCATATTTTGACCAGACTATTTCTGCCTTTTCCAGCTACACGCAAAGTGTTTCTTCCTTCCCCAAATATTCCCATCAATATAGAGTAGTCATTCAATGTCTCTCACGCATGAATACTTTGTTTTTGCATGTGAGTGTATAGTATGAATTCTATTTATATAAGGTATTCGCCATTCCCACTCATCAGAAGGCTTCTCTTCACTTCTCACATTCTTCTTTCTCTATGTGTAAGGCATTCCCGTGAAGTAGGGAAATACGTTTTATCTCAACTTCAATTCTTCATACAATTCAATTATTCTTTCTCTATATATAAGGCATTGTGCGTGAAGAATTGAATTTATCTGCAGGTCCTTCAGTTCTTCTTTCTCTTTCCACAATTTCACGTGAAGTTGGTGGTGTGTGTGGCCTTGCAAATATTGCATACGTTTTATCTCAACTTGAGGCTTAATTTTTCTTCTGATTAAGGTACATTCTCTTGATTAATTTTTTTAAAAATTTTGATATGTATTTTGCTAAATGATGGATAAGAATTTTATATTTAGTCATTTTTACATGTTGAGTTTGTTTTAATTAAAAAAATGTAGATATAAAATAAATTACAGTTTTACTTTTTATAATCTGATTAAATATATATCTTTTTTTTTTAGTAGATAGTGTTTGAGTAAATATGTAGTCAGATTAAATATGTATTTAGTTAGATAATATTTGGTTGTGAGCATGGTAATCAAACTTCTCCTATGCCAGTCAATACGTCATGAAAAATACTTGAATATTTAAAGAAAAATTGATGGAATAATATTCCTCACTCATAAAATTTTAATATACAATGATAAAATTATTTTGTTAAAATTACGTAAAATTTATATCAAAGCATGCATAGAAGACAGTTAAATTATTTAACTATAAAAACCTTTAAAATATTGAAAATCCAAATCAGTGGTCCAAGTTATAATTTTTATTAAATTATAATTATTTTATTATTTGATTATGCATAGTGACTTCATGTATGAATTTCATAAATTCAAGTTTACATACCTGTCACGAGTTTACTTAAACTCGTGAGTTTGACAACCCTGGTTGTGAGCTTAGTCTAGTCTTGTATCTAGCCAATAAAAGCTAGCACTAAATGGTGTCAAAATTTTCCTAATAAAAAGAGTACTGATGATGGGGTTAATAATAATAAAAGAAATGATTTTTTTTTTTGGAAAAATTAGAGGGGAGGACCTAGAGAAAGCAATATTTATTAAAGAGGATCTTAAAAATTATAATTATTTAGGCAGAACCAAATAATAAACTATAAATTTAAAAAATCACTCAACAGTACTCAACTATATTTATTAAAGAGGAGTAATAGCTAATGTTTCGTCATATTAGTAATTATAATTTCTAAATAACTAATGTGAAATAGTTATTAACATTTATTTTTGTTTCATTCATATAAGGATGTTTTTTGGGGTCACTTAAACGGTACCTAATATAAAATTACACAAGTACATTTATTATAAGCTTATTATTATTTAATGTAAATTTACCTTTATGTGTTAACTAAAGTATATATCTCATCAAAGCATTTATTCGCAATATAGAATATTAGAGGTTGAAAGGAATATAATTATTCTTTAATAATATAGATAAATTAAAATTGAACATTTGAAGTATGAAGTTGGGACCAGGAGGAGAAAAATGAAGCAGAGGCAATTTTTTGAATAAGAAATATTTTCAAATTAATTTATTTAATCAAATATTTATCTATTTAGTCATTAAAAATATCCAATAATGGAACATAAGTTAGAAAAAATTTAGAATGTAGTTGTGGGAGAATTTAATGTTTTTAATATATTTAATCCTTCTAAATATTTATAGTTTTTAAGATCCTTTTGATAATAAAACAGAAGTAATGATTTTAGCTAATTTTTTAATAATATTTAATTATAATATTTTTGAATAAAATGGAATGAATAGAAAATTATTTATTTAATATATTTGAAATATGTAATTCTATATTAATTTTATATTGATATATTAGAATTTATAATAAAATTTTAATATGTAACGTTTAGTGGTGATACTGGCTATGTGGTAAGTTTTTTTTTTAGTTTTTTCTGATCAATATCATCATTTTCTATGAAAATTTTTTCAAACCTAATGTTTTATTTATTTCAGGCTGACATAGCAGAACAGTTATATAGGCTAGCAATTAATTCTCGTCCAACATGCTCTGATTGTATTGATTATCGAGAAAGAGTTGCTCGAGACCAGCATAACATCTACTTGCAGTTAGAGAACAACGGTTTAATATGAATTCTCAACCAGCTCCACCACCAGTTGAGCTACCCCGTCCACAAATTCCTCGAGATAGACTAAGCAAACGGGCGAGGCGGTTACTGTCTACTCAGCCACCAATTGTAAATGAAAATTTAAGTGAACAAGAGTCTCAAAATTTTAGTCATTTTGATAACATACCAGTCTCATCAAGCCCTATCACCTCTTCCAATCCAACTCATTTTTACCCTCATCACATGCCATCATCATCAACATTATCCCATTCTGACTAATCCAATCCTCCTCAATTTCAGTCATTCATGTCCTTATTTGATGATCCTGCATTATTTATCGATCAATATAACACTTCTTCTTTTGAGCAAGGTGGTCCATCAAATTAAGCATTGTCACCCCTTGACAATCAATTTCTTAGCCGAATCACCTTGGTTTGATTTAAATACGTCAACTACGCAGACAAATGAGACATTAGATCAACTCAAGAAGTAAATATACAACAACGGCCATAGCGTGCGCGGAGGAGACCAAGATGTGGCACGGGGAGTCATTATTTGTGAGGTAAATTAATTCTTATTTTTGTTCATGTCAATTTAATTTTTATTTTTTATTAATTTTAAACATTTAATCATTACTTATTTTCTTTAATCACTTTTTAATTAATATAATATTAATTATTACTACTATCATTATATAATTATTAACTCATTGTTCTAATGATATGACCATATTAACATCCCTGTTAGGAATATTTATGTGGTGAGAGACTGTGAAGAAGTTGTTCAGATGCTGGTGAAATTTAAAAGTAGTGTTCACATCAAGATGAATTTCAGCTAGACAGGAAGACAAAGGTATTGGAGGAATTGCTCTTACTGAGATGGAATTTTAAACGTTGTTCAAGCCAGATGAAGTTCAAACTGCATGGGAACCAATTTGTTATCGAAGAAATTGCTCTCTCGTTAAAATGAACTTTTAAAGTTGTTTAAGCTAAGAAGAAACTTTGAGTGTAGCATTTGGGGAAATAATTCTCCACTATGTAGTATTTGAAGAATTTTTTTTTCTTCTTGTTTGCAGCGTTTTGCTAAAAATTCCCTAAGAGTAACAACAAAGTTGGGTTTGATTGCAAAACCCAAAGTGGGTTTGATGCAAAACAAAAGCCCTTTCACTTCGTTAAGTGAGGAGAAGGCTTATGATGAGTAGGAATACATTATTAGCTTTCGACTAAGAAACTAAGGATAAAATAAAATGTGAATCTGACGGATTTTTTCTAAAAAATTCTTGGAGGAGCTTCTCATATTTCTACAATTCAATTAGATGTGAAATCTAGAAATTTCCTCAATATACTTCTACAATTCAATTAGATGTGAAATCTAGAAATTTCCTCAATATACTATATTTTAATAAATCTATATTAATATCTAATTAATTATTAATTATTAATTAAATAGAATTAATTAAAAATAAATAATATTAAATAAAAAATAATAATATTCTATTTATAATTTTAGAATTTTAGTTATAATTTGGAATAATTAAATAAAAAGAATGCCGAATGCCTTATATAAGTAGAATTCATACTATACACTCACATGCAAAAATAAGTACTCACGCATGAGAGATAAGGAATGACTACTCTATATTGATGGGATATTGGGGAAGGAAGGAACACTTTACGTGGGGCTGGAAAAGGCAGAAATAGTCTGGTCAAAATATGAAAGCTGAAAACAATGGATGTAAGACGAAGTGTAAGACAAAATGGGTCCCACTGAAATTGTTCAGACCAAGAACAACTTCCATTTTGTGATGTGGGTCCCACTGAAGTTGTTCAGACCAAGAACAACTTTCATATTTGGATGTGGGTCCCACTGAAGTCGTTTTTGGCCTGAACAATTTCTGTACAAAATTTAAACTCGTTCACCGTCTGAACGATTTCAAGTGTAGTATCTGAGTAAATATTTTTGATCTTATAGCATCTGAGTAAATATTTTTACTGTTTGTCGTGTCTGGATAAAAAAGCCTCTGAATTATACTATCTGGTCAAAAGAAGGAAAAAAAAAGACTATCCGGGAAAAAAAAAAAGGGTATAAATTATACTATATTTAGATTAGATTAAATCAAATTAAAAATTAAATTAACTCTTATACTACCTCTGATCCTTAATATAAAACCTCATTTGATTTTTATTTTGGTCCTAATTATAAGACTTCAATCCATTTTATCTCTCATATTTATATATTCTTCCCAAGATAGTCCCTTTAATAATAAATAATTTTAACCAATAAACTTGATTAGTACGGATTTAGTACGGATATTTTAGGAAAGTAACACTTATTTATTATAAATAATTAATTTAACTTATTCCCTTAATCTCCTTAAATTAGTCAACCAGCTCTTATAATTAGGACCGAAGATAGTACTAAAGACCAAAAATAATATAATTATTATATCTCTTTCTCTCGTGCATAACTTCCCATGTACATTCAAGTTCAAGCATCAACACTATACTTTGTTGGGATTGTTTGGTTTAATCCATATTAAAAGTATTTTTTCACAAAATGAGATAAATTCTTTTATATATTTATTTGTATATTGTAAAATCATTTTCAAATCATGATATAATATATTGATTTTGTACAGTGGAGACAAAAAGTTCTATTGGCCCAAATGTTCAAAGAGGTGAAATAACAAATTTTAAGAATTAGAATAGGAGACATTCTTGGAAAAAAAAAACAAAATCACGTCCATATACTTCTTTCAGTCCATTTTAAATATCAGTCTTGTTAACCATTTTTAATTATAAGATATTATTTGCAGAGATTACAAATAAAATCTTATAATTAGTACTGATGATTGTTAGGTTTGATGAGTGGTGGATGATGACTCAGTATACACGTGGCAAGTTTGTCCATGAAGATTGTCGGATGGAGTGTTTGGCTGCGGACAAAAGGGGCAGGGGCAATTCCAGCGAAGGTATTTTCCAGTGTTCGATCTACTCTTTTCTCGGCATCCAAGCACTCCCAACTTCGCTCCAAATTCAGTTAGTAGAGGATCAGAGAGAAGAGTTGCGACAGGAAAAATTCTTCCCAAAATATGTTCCCACAGTTTGGGGCGACGGCGGAATCTTTGAGTAAAGCGTCCACGTTGGTGTTCCGGATCGGTACAGACGCCCATCTCTACGACGATCCCGAAGATGTCAGTATTGCTCCCCTACTCGACAGCAAGTTCGATTCTGAGAAATGCGAAGCTCTTAAGCGATTGCTTGCCCTCATCGCCCAGGGCTTCGATGTCGCCAACTTCTTCCCTCCCTCAGTAAGTGTAAAGAAATCAATTTCATTTTGTGTTGCAGCTTATCATTATTTGTCAGCTTCTTAACCTATGTTGTTGATTTGCGGTGCTCGATTTGTACTTCATTCATGGTGTAACAAAATCACCGGATACGAACTTCATTTCGCCATCGAAATTTTATGGGGAACATTTTCAGTGGTTACTTGTAGTTACAGTTCGTCTAGAAAACGATTTAGTTCTATGACTTAAACTAGTTCGAAGATTTTTCTACCTAACATGTACTCATCTGTTTTTCCATTTTTCTCTTTCCATTATCAAATGAGATTGCAGGTTGTTTTAAAAATGTTGCATCTCAATCTTGGAAGTGAAGAAGCTGGTCTACTTGTACCTCCTGCATTATGCTGAAAAGTATGTAGCTGCAGTAAGCTGGTCATGGTCATATTTTATAATTATGCATTTAGAAGTCAGTACATGCTTTATTTCCTGACTCTTGGCATTCTATACTCGGTTTCGCACATGATGAGTTACTCTCACTGATAGTGCTTTTATTCTTTCATCTTTTTATGATTTAGGCGTCCAAATGAAGCATTGCTATCAATTAATTGTTTCCAGAAGGACCTCGTGACCCAAACCCACTGGTGAGGGCATGGGCACTTCGTGCCATGGCTGGTATAAGGCTTCATGTAATTGCACCTCTTGTTCTTGTTGCTGTGGGGAAGTGTGCAAGAGATCCTTCTGTTTTTGTTAGAAAATGTGCTGCAAATGCTCTTCCTAAGCTTCATGATTTGCGGCTAGAGGAACATACTTCTGCAATTGAAGAGGTCTGGTTAACATATTCATTGCTTATCGCTTTCATCATCATTTCCATTGTTTCTGCGTGTTTGTGCCCTCTGAACGCAGCTGCATCCATAATTTCCATGGGATTTATACTTTGAAATCTGAATTTGCATAAGATACTTCTATGCCAGATATTGGAGGGTTGGCAATGTAGGATTATAAGGCCATTATAGTTTCAATTAATTAACAGCGATGCTCCATTTTGTGCAGATTGTTGGACTATTATTAAATGACAATTCCCCAGAAGTTGTTGGAGCTGCAGCTTCTGCATTTGCTACTGTTTGTCCAAATAATTTTTTGTTGCTAGGAAGAAAGTTCAAAAGGTTGTGTGAGATTCTTCCTGATGTTGAAGAGTGGGGTCAGATAATCTTAATTGGGATCCTTCTGCGGTATGTGATAGCAAGGCATGGACTTGTCAAAGAATCAATCATGTTTTCTTTGTGTCAGGAAAAGGATTGCAGCTCTGGAAAGACTGTATCTGAAGATGATGAGCCAGACTTTACGGCGAAAGAAGCTGTGGATGGCTCTGGGAATACTTTATCTGAATTAGCAAATATGATTTTCCATTGCTACATTGAAAGGCCAGATGAATATCTGTCACGGTCAAGTTCTCCAAACAAGGGTTTTCCTAAATTAGACGTATCCCAGTTTTCGTCTTCCAGCAATGATGCTGTGAAGATCCTGCTCCAGTGTACTTCACCACTGTTGTGGAGTAATAACAGTGCTGCTGTTGTACTTGCAGCTGCTGGTGTGCATTGGATAATGGCCTCTCGGGATGATGTTAAGAAAATTGTTAAACCACTTTTGTTTGTCCTGCGATCATCATACACGTCAAGATTTGTGGTAGGCATTTCTTGAACCCCTTGTTTTCGTCTTATTTTGCTCTATGCTTTTGAGTAGAATGGCACATGCTGCTATCACTTCAGTATTTCTGCTCTAGCCCTTCTACTCTTCCATTTATTTTCTATTTTTTCTTGAATTCCATGCATTATTGCATATATGATGGCCTCAAACCCCATGGGTCTTGGCCCTTTAAACGCCTAGCCTCAAGAGAACCTGTGTTTTTCTTTTTGCTTTCTCTTGTCAGCGCTGGTTCTGCATGTTTTTCTTTGTCCCTTCTCTGTGGAAAGGCGTGCAGACCACTTAACATAAACAATACAACAATTTCAGAGGCCACCATCACTCTTGGTATCATAGTGGCGCCTTTTTGTGTCTAACTCCAAAATGGAGCAAAAAGTAGACTTAGTAGAGACAAAAATTGAGGCATTGTATAGCTCGGTTACAGAACATTGTGCTAAGCCCCAAGAAGGGGAAAACATTCCACTCTTTCAAACTAGGAAGGAATACTGCAGCTGGAGACAAGGACATGGGGACATAATTTCAAAATTTAATACCGCGTACATGCAATTTTTCCACAATCAACCTGTAGGAGTTGGGACTGCTCCCTTCCTGATAACCTAGCTGCAGTGATGGTCCATTTCAAAATTTTTGTGATTGGCATATATCTGAATTGGATAATTCTTGGTTTAGATATAAATGATTGTTTGTTTTTTGTTTATGATTTACTTTGCAGGTCCTGTGCAATATGCCAAGTTTTTGCTAAGGCTTGCCTTCTCTCTTGTTGCTCACTATGAAGATTTCTTATACATTCTTCAGATTCATATCAGATTAAAGCTCTGAAGCTTGAGATACTTTCTGCCATTGCCACAGACTCGTCTGTTCCATTCATTCTCAAAGAATTTCAGGTATTTCACCTCAAATCCAAGGATTCCTTTTCAGCTACGTTGTGGCATGCAGATGAGTCACTGCCTTGTGAAATGAAGTATTTGTCAGCATCAAACCTTGGCCTCCTGTGCAAATTGTATGGAATAAATGTCATTCTACTTTCTCATATACGCTGAAAATTACTGTTGCTTCTTAATTTTGGTTAATATTTTTTATTATTTTAAATCAAAGTGATGGTTAAATGAAACAAATGGTATAATTAATATTTTCACTCTATTGGGGTGTGAATTAAATTTTACCATGAACTTAGAAAGTAAATTCCATTTACTAGGTTTCTGCATAAATTGATGTTTTTCTTAGTGCGTTGCTAGGATTATATTAAAGATCCAGACAGGAGATTTGCTGCGGATACTGTTGCTGCCATTGGTCTATGTGGTCAAAGGATTCCAAAAATGGCAAATGCATGTTTGGACTGGTTGTTGACTCTGTTAAGACGTGGTATGCTAATACTTACCTTCTTTTTCTCACATCTATTTAAAATTGTCCAGCTCCTTGTTTATTGTTCGTAGTTGCAGAACTTATGTGTAGCGGAATTCAATCTGTGGTTGGAGAAGATGGCGTGCTAATTCAGGCAATCATATCCATTAAATCAATCATAAAGCTAGATCCACTCACTTATGAGAAGGTTTTTATGTTTTCTTTGTTCTGAAATATTCAAACCACCCTCGTGTTTCTGCTGTTTTTTTAAATTGATTATTATTATTTTTTTCCAAAAGACGATATAAAGATGCAGGCAAATTGGAATAAGCTTGGGTAGCATACAATGTATGCACTCTGGTCTCCTGGGACACCATTTTGATCATTAGCTGTTAGTTTGGAAAAACTAGTTTATTATTTTCTGTTGCTATTTAGACCTCAATTCTGCTCGTTGCTAATATCATGAACTGCTTACATCATTCTAACGTATTTAGTGTGGTGAGGGCTTATTCAATGTATTTTTATATTCCTGGAGGAGGCATATAAAGTTCTATCTTCTGTATGCTATTGTGAGAAGTACAAGTTTGAAGAGGGGAAAGGATTTTCCGATTTTTTTGATGTAGCTAGCTCCTGGGATAGGACAGCTTTGAAAATCCAGTGTGCAAATACAACTTTAGTACAAATGTGTTTCTGATTTATGATATCAACCAGCAATTCATTTATTTTCAAACCAACCCATTTACTGTCTATTATTTGATTGACTAATCCTTTAGGGTTAAGGTCCAATTTTGGCCTTGAAATTTTGCATAAGAGCTGCAGGTATCTGAAAGTTTTTGTTGGTAGTATAACCTTGAAAGTGTTAAAAAATGAGCAAAATCGTCCTAACTTGTGCATAGATAAGATAGATGAATTTCATCATATGCTGATGGAACTGAATTTTTTTTATTCTTTCTGTGCTTTTATGTTTGTGGTGCGCCAGCATTGTGCTATTTCATCCTCCTTTAGGCATTTTCATCCTTTCATTAGTGATCAAAACCCTATTAGTAGATTTCTTGTCTCTTTGTTACCCATGTTATAGCTATTTATGTGTATTTCAAGCTATAGTGCTAGGGCATTCTTGCCAAAAGTGTAATAAGCAGAAACGTGCTTCATGTAAAGTATTTGTTTGTAAACTTTGTATAATGATACCTTATTTTATGTCTGACATGTGCTTCACAAGCGTTCCTAGGATTTTTCTGCCCATACAGGTTCTATCGTAATTATATTGTTTTCAATTTTGTTTTAGGTTATTGCTTTCTGGAGTTTGTCTACCACCCTTTTGTCAGTGCAGACAACATTGCTGTGGTTAATTTATTATTAGTAGTAATTGGTTGTAGCATTTTAGAGTTCCTTGTCTTCCACCTTTAGTTTTGTCAGCACAGAGAATATTCTAGTTTCTTGCTTGCAGCACTGCTATGGTTGAGTTAGTTATTAGTAATTATTGCAGTCTTTGGATGCTTTCTTTCTGAGTCTGCTGGTGACTTCATTTTTTATAGGTCATAATTCAGTTAATCCGTAGTTTGGATACAATCAAGGTCCCTGCTGCCCGTGCTATGATTATTTGGATGATGGGGGAGTATTGCTCTTTAGGTGAGATAATCCCAAGGATGCTGAGCACAGTGCTTAAGTACCTAGCTTGGTGCTTTGCCTCAGAAGCATTAGAAACAAAGCTCCAGATACTTAATACAATGGCAAAGGTACGCCATGAAGCTAATCTTGTGCTTGTTTGCTACTGATTGATCCATATGACAATTGAACAAATCTTATTGCATTTATATTGTTATTATCCCTATCCTTTTCTCTGGTAACCGAAAGTATCAAGTACTTATATCTCAAATGTAAACAAAGATGGAACTAAACAGTGATTAATAATTGGTTTTATATTGTTGGCCACTGGCTGTGATTATAAGCCTTAATCTCTTAATTTGGGTTGCAACATGTAGCCTTGACCAGAACTCATTGTGAAACTATTTCGATCATAGATTTCTTTTTCCTATGTAGTTCAATGTAGGCTTATGTTTCTTCACAGACTTGTTAAATTCTTTTACAGTGTAGCTTATTAATTATATGGTTCTATACTTTGCATTCTTTGGCCCCTTGCCTCCCTTTGAAGAGGGGAAAAAGGTAGAAGGGAAAATGAAATTCTATCTTGAATGGTGCTATCCTTTTGGTCATAATCTTAACCTTGAAAGCCATAATTTTTTCCTCCTGAAAGCAAGTAGGTTGGACTGTTAATGGAAAGCTGGACAGCTACATATTTTTTAATATGCAGCTTTTTCTTGCTTAAATTTGCTGGCACGGTTTACTTTTTCTGTGCATACGTGGTTGAATTCTGTGCCTTGTTTTTTGAATATATGACCCGATGGATCCTATTTTAATTTTTTGCTTTCTCAGTTGTTTGAATTCTGTGCACTGTTAAATGAATATATGGCGACATACTTGCAAGTTTTTCGTTTTGGATTCTCTGATATTAATAATTTGTGCTTTTTAGCTAGTTTAGGTTAAAGGCTTCCAAATTTATAATTTTTATTTGCGCTGAAAAGCAAAAGTTTCATTTGATGCAATGAATTTTATTCATTGTTTTAATGGCTTTTGGTTGCAGGTCATACTATGCACTAAGAAAGATGATATTGGGTCCTTGCGTAGAGTCTTAAGTTATGTAGTTGAACTGGCTGAGCATGACTTGAACTATGATATTCGTGATCGGTCATGTTTTGTGAAGAAACTTTTCTCACGGAACCTGGAGTCCCAACAAAATGAGGAAGAAGAAAATAACAAATCACAAAATAAAGACCTGTCCTATGTACTTGCTCAATGCATATATGGTGGACAGACAAAAACATTGACAGTGTCATCTGAACCTATCAATTCCCGGTTTTATCTCCCTGGTTCTCTTTCCCATATAGTATTCCATGCAGCTCCAGGCTATGAGCCTCTTCCAAAGCCTTCTAGTCTTCCATACACACTGACCTTGATCAAGATGATGGGGTTTCTTCAGCAGATTTTGATGAGAGGAGAATGGTCCTGATGCATCTGGATCTTTGGATGAGGAAAGTGCTTCTGATTACAGTTCTGAACGTTCATATACTGGTTCAAGTGATGTTAGTCGCAGTGATGAGACTGTTTCTGGTCATCAAGGTAACAACAATGCTGATCCTTTGATTCAGATTTCAGACACAGGTAATGGTGGCCAAAATCAGAATGTTGTGTCTCACCCGGATACAACTGATTTTGGGGAATTATTGTCTACAAGAGCTCTGGAATCATGGCTGGATGAGCAGCCTGGATTGTCTACAGAATGTACAATGGAACAAGGTCGAGCCCGTAGATCTTCAGCTAGAATAACAATAGGAAATATCAGAAGTCGAGTTAAAAATAAATGCTATGTGCTCCTAGATCCTACAAATGGAAATGGATTGAAGGTCAATTATTCATTTTCATCTGAGACGTCAAACATATCCCCTCAACTCATATGTTTAGAATTATTCTTTGAAAATTGTTCTTTGGAGTCCTTATCTGATGTAGTCTTAATAGATGAGGATTCTAGCAAGGGTTCAGATTCTACGAACCATACATCATCCCCTGTTGAGAGGTAAACTCTAAATTTTCCATTTCTTATTTAAGGTAAACTTTGATGTGCCTTTTCTATTGTGATTGTCAATATAGTATATTTTTCTGTGTTTTGTTTTGCTGAATTTGCACAAAATTTTATGTGTGTTGAATTATACTTCATTCATGATGAAGAACAAGTGTATAACTGACTTGAGAAGTCTGACACAATAACTGAAAATAATCACCTAGGTTCTGGGATAGAAACTGAAAATAACTGACATTTAGAACATAAGATAGACGACAACTAAACATAAAAGCTATTTAAATTCCTATCTTCAGTTCTTTTCCGAGGAAGGACTCCCACGCCTCTTCCTAGAATAAGCCAATAAGAGACTTTGGACTCTAACAGTCACCTTCAGGGTGAAAATTTAAATCTCAAAGGTTTTTTCGCTTTGTGAATTGTGATTTATAACTCTATATGCTAAACATAGTTTAGGAATTAGCTTGAGTTCTAGTTTACCGAATGCAGGAGGAGGATATTTTATTAGAATTTCAATTTGGGCTTTAGGCTTTTTTATTTTAATGAGGATTTTGATTCAGCCATTCAGGAATATTAATTTTGTCAAATTTTGCCTTTATCCTTTGCTTGGATTGGGTGGATTTCCCAGCATATTCTCTCCTTGATTTCATATTTGGCATTACTCTTCAAGAGGGTTATAACTTATGGTTACCCGTTTACCATCGTTCTTTTCTCTGAAATTGATAAATTATATTGAGAGCTGTGTTATATGCTCTTCTGGTTGTTTTTGGCTCTCATGTTTGCATCTTATATTTGCATGATTTTTACATATTGGTCTTTTGGAACTAACGGATCCTACTGCTTTTGGCATTGCACTCCAGTGCTTCGAATACTGATATACCAACTCTGGTTTCTATGGAAGAGATTTGTTCTCTGGAGCCTGGTCAGACAGAAAAGAGGACTCTGCAAGTTCACTTCCATCACCACCTATTGCCTCGAAAGTTGGCTTTGTTTTGCAATGGCAAAAAATTTCCTGTAAAGCTAAGGCCTGATATTGGATACTTTGTGAAACCACTTCCAATCAGTATGGAAGATTTCAGAGATAAAGAATCTCATCTTCGCGGGATGTTTGAATATGTGAGGAGGTAAGTCAGGATGTGGAACATCTAGTAAGTAAATTTAGTATTCACAATCCCAATCCATGGGATATGTACCATCAATTTGATTGAGTTCCTTCAAGACAACTCTTGGTCCCACATCTTAAAACGTTGGAAAAATTTAAAAAAAAAAAAAAAAAAAAGCAAAAGAACACGCATCTCTGAAATAGTCTCTTTTTATCTGAATCCATAATTGAATATGCTTTAGATTGTCCTCCATAGCAAATTGATTTTCATCTTATTTCTGTTATTCTGTTTGAACCTTTGAATAATTACATTTTGCCATACTGCTATATTGATAGTGCATCTTAGAGTTTCCCAACTGGTCTCAACAATTCAAATTTTTAACGGGAAGAATTTCTCTGAGGGATTTGTACTCGGGGAATGGAACTGAGAAAAATTAGCGATGTTAAAAGACTTGGTGTGCATATCGTTGTTACGTCTAGCTTCAGGATGTAACCATCTTGCTTAGGCAATCCTTTCCTATTGAAATGATGCAACAGCTAGATTTAAGATGAACAAAGCGTCACCTGCAAAGGTTGAAGCATATATGAATCTTGTTAACTCGAAGAATTCAGCAGACAAAAAATTGACTTTGTACATTATTACAAGTTTACTCTGCTTCATTGTGAGCATGATTCTTTGAGATTCTAAACTTCAAAGTCTATTATGTTGTATGATGTGTCAGTTGTTCTTTCATTGATCACATTGAAGAGCTGAACAAGGACAGCAACTCTTTGACAAAGGACAATTTTCTTGTGATCTGCGAAAGCATAGCACTAAAGATGCTCAGTAACACAAATGTTTCCCTCGTATCTGTGGATATGCCTGTTACTGCCCACCTTGATGATGCATCTGGTTTGTGCTTGCGTTTTAGCAGTGAGATCTTAAGCAATTCCATGCCATGCTTGCTTACAGTTACCGTTGAAGGTAAATGCTCCGACCCTTTGAGTGTTTCTATAAAAGTCAACTGTGAAGAGACTGTGTTTGGTTTGAATTTCCTGAACAGGGTTGTCAATTTCTTAGTTGAACAGTCTCATACCCAATCGTGAGTTTGGAAGTTCGATTGAGAAACTCATTTGAAAAACTCGATGATCAGAGTTTTGAAGTGTGGTGTCTCCGAACTATACACTTTATTTTCTGGGGTGGGTGGGACGTGTGATGATTCAACATGTATATGACTTTATCTCTCATTTATTCGTTTTTGGGATGCTAACTTGGTTCCAAATACCCTTTTTTATACCTTCTATGCTACATGGAGGGGAACATAACCTTTGCGTTTCATCAATATCCATTGCTGCTTCTACACTTCTTTCAATTGCCTTGATCTATTGCTTGCTGCACGTGGCTGCAATCTTTTCTAGTTCTGAGCAACAAAGTTGTATCTCATGGAAATGGCACAATTTTTCTGCTGTCCTGAGTGTACAAATCATACTAGCTTCGAAAAATGTTCAACAAAACGGTGCATACTGGTGCTAATCACCTTAATCTACATAAAACTGTTCTATTAAAAGCAATGAATAATTGTGGATTTGGGGTGGTCTGCAGATTTTTTTTCAGGTGCTCAATTCTTTATGGATTTGAACAAATAATGCATTTTTTGTATGCTAAAAGCCTATAACTGACCTTTTCTGGTCTAACGGTCAAGCCATTCATTGGTGATTTGTGCCTTAGCTATCATAATTATTAGTGGTCTGAATGCAAGTGAGTGGGAGATACTGTAGTAGATATTACTCAACTTGAAAAAAATAAGGTTAACATATTGGTATGTTGGCAAAAAGGTTGTGGCCCGATGAAGGACATTCTTTTTCTTACTGGGAGTGGGAAGCGGGTAGAGTGTTCTCTTTTATTCTTCATTTTCCAATTCTCTCTTTGTACAAGCCTTTTTCGTTGGCAGTACAACGTTTGTATGCTTTTCTATGCCCTCATTTGTACTATTATATACCGATTTGGTCCTAGCGACATCCAATATATGGTTATTGAGATCGGGGGAAAATAATAAGTTACTTAACTTTGTCTGCCATTAATATATCCACAATTGTTTTTTAAAATGCAAAGACCAAGATACTTCCAAAGATTATGTTATCATTTCGTATAACTAAGAACACAATTATTAAAGCAATATCCACTTTTCTTTAAAAAAATAAAATTATTTCAAATTTGAAAGTCATTTATTTTATGTTGGAAGTTATACGTTTAAATTAATTAAAACATAATATATGATCCTTTTGTGTTTGTCAAATATATTTTGCATTTTTGAGCTGCGTGGTAAACAAGGACATGGCTGGTAAAACAAATGCACTGATGGTCCAGATGGAATGGGGTGTACGCAAAAGTGGGAAGTTCAAACCATTCTATCCTAATCTATGGTTTTAGAGAAAGGGGGGGGGGAGTACCAAGAGTACTGTAGCTAAATAGGTCTAATTCTTTTCCCGTAAAGAAAGTGAGTATTGCGCATCAATTTAAGCAAAAAGTTCTTATGTTTTAAAATAAGGAAGATAATTTGATAAAACCTGAGATACATTTAAAATTTCTCGCAAAAAAATAAAACAGAGATACATTTAAAATTTTTGTTGGAAAATAATTATTTCATCCGGTTAAACATTTGGAGCTCCAAAGGTTGACCGAACTCTCGATACTGTAGCCTAAAGCTGTCAATGTACTGAACCTCACCATAAGTAAAGCCATCTTTTCATCATTTTAATTTTAAATTAATAAATGATGGGAGTCCAGAGCCTAGAACCACGTCGTATTTCTGGAAAGATCTAAAGCAAATCTAAAAGAAAAACCGCCGACCGTGGGGATCGAACCCACGACCACGTGGTTAAAAGCCACGCGCTCTACCACTGAGCTAGGTCGGCTTGATGTTCACTGTGTGCAATTCAATATAGGTAAATCAAACAATGAGGACTTCCCTCTTTTCTTCATTGTTTGTTTCACTTGATTGATTTCTTTGTTTTTGCTGTTATTGTTGAACTGCTCACAGAAGTTTTTGATGCCTTTACAACGATGTTTCTATTTTCTTCGTCTGTATAATTTACTTGTTTTGGAAAAAGGTAGTGCAAATAGTCTGATTTAACCTTCAACCTATATGTTACTTCCTCACGTTTTTTTATATAAGAGTTACTTAATCAATTTGAATAGATTAAAAAAATTACTTAAATTAATTATTTATAATAAGTATAAGTTATTTTTTCTAAAGCACTCTTCAATATTGACTATGATGGAATGAAAATTACTCAATATGTATGGTCAATGGGGATATTCTAGAGAATAAATTATAACTTTAAAAAATAAAGTGCATTAAGATCTTATATTTAAAATAGAATTTAATTCTCAACTACTTTTATATTAAGCATAAGAGACAATACTAGATTTTTTTTTTAAAAAAAAGCTTGATGCAAATTTGAACTAACACTAGTTGTATATTGACTTGACAAAAACACTAGGTTATGAAAGCACATCAAGTCTAACAGGACCATTACTCTGTTGTCCAAAAAAAAAAAGTGATGTCCGTTCTCATTAAAAACAATTTAAAGCTTTTTTTTTTGGGTAAAAAAACAATTTAAACCTCTATTAGTATATAAAATGCGAAATTGAATGGACCCTGAACCTGATTTAATTTTCTCTTATTGAAGCATAAACTTAATTATGTCTGATCAATTTACCCAATTTTCTTTAATTAGAAAAATAGTTGTTGACATTTTGAGGTTCTAAGCTAGATTGATCACATAACCTCCAACTTACTAAACGCTTTTAAAAATTCTAAATAGATTTTTAACATGGCCTAATTTTAGCAAAATTTTTTAACACTCATAAAGTTGTTAAAAAGTTATAATAAAACTCAGAGTTGGAGGTAACATATAAATTTTGACTTTGGGTCTACTGATAGAATTTCTAGATCCTCTTGGATAGTAGTGACTATTAAATCATATATATTTTTAATTACTGTTAATGTAACTGAGATCTCCATTTTCACTAATTAATTTTAAATTACTTATGATAATTAGCATATTTGATGCAATTAAAAATTATGAAAATGTTCAGATTTGTATTCTTTATATTAATGTCATTTTTTTTGCATCATGGTATAAATTACTGTCATAATCATTAAAAAGACATTTAAATTAGAGATGTTATATCCCACACACTTTCAATTTTTTAGATTAATCCAATAGTTCGTGGGCAAAAAAAAATTAATTCAATAGTTAAGTTCTATTATATCCTGTCTTCTTTTTGGCAAGAATAGTTGAGTTTGATCCAAAATTAGCTTTTTTTTGGTCTTGTATATTTAGACACTAAAATGTCTTAGTTTTTCATTAGAAAATTTTAAATTGATGATTTTTAATATTGATTAAATATAAATTTAATAATGTTGGCAAAAAAAAATATAAATTTAATAATGTAAGAAAAAATATAATAATGTTCTAATAAAAAATTTTGTGCTTGTAGTATTTTGATTATATTCTGTAAAAGTGCGGAACAAAAGTTGGCCAATAGCGATTTTGGTAAAGCTGACGTGGGACCACATGCAGCACGGTACATCACAATCACGAGACTGAGGAATTGATGAAAATCCTAAAAAACCGCCGACCGTGGGGATCGAACCCACGACCACGTGGTTAAAAGCCACGCGCTCTACCACTGAGCTAGGTCGGCTGACTGACATGATGTTAGTAGGAATTATACTTTACACAATTCACGATTTTCTCTCTTTCAATTCTAAATATAAAACCCCTATACATATTCTAAATATAAAAACCCCACACATTTAACATATGATTTAGTGTTCCTGTGGTATTATGAACAATAATCATTAACCAAAAAAAATCCAATCTTATGAGCAGAAGTTTGTGATGGACAGTTTTTTCCCCCCTAAAAAAGTGTTTAGTAGATGTCAAAAGTATTTTTAAAGAATATTTTCATACAAGTCGAGACAAAATTTTTTTATATACTTATTTTGTATTCTGTAAAATCACTCTTAAAACTATAGTTTGGTTTCTACTTAAACAATCTTTAAGTTTTATATTAGCTTTGATGTTGTAATTGTATACTTATTATTTCTCGAAATACCTTGCTCTATAAGAAGAAAAAAGAAGAGAAAAATGAAGATAGTTGTTTTCACGACTATGTGTAAAAAAAAAAATCTAAAATTATATAATTAACAGAGTAATACAAGGGTAACAGTACATAAAATTTGCTATATTTTTCCCCCCTTCTCTTCAAACTCACATTTTCACAATCTTAATTTCGAAAATCTACATCTGATGAACTTAATAACTAGTAGTCGCTTTCCTTCCATCCTCCAATGTCTTCGTCAAGAGATTCGTCTTCTTCCTGTGAATTCAAACAAGACAACAACATCAAACAAAATGATTCTGTCGTAAATTTCTTCAAACTGATTGCATCATCACACGTTTATTATAATATTATATATATATACACACACACACACATATATCAACATAAGCAACATGGAAATTGAGAAGCTAAGTACCTTAAGGGTGAAAGTTATACCAACTTCAATTTCTCCACAGTAAGATTGATCTGCACCAACCACTCTATACTTTCGAGGATGAAGCTCAGATCTTCCATTCTCTGCTCCTAAAGCCAGCAAATCCTCCACATATATTCTGCCACCCACACACAAATTCATCACAAACATATTCAATATGATATTTGGTGCTCTCGAGTTAGCATCCTTTAAAGAAAATCTTCATCATTATTGAACATTTGAGTTGACTTATCAATTTCTTTCACAGGGAGCAAGTTTACTGAAGAATATGGTTGAGCCTTACTCGGCTTGGCCAAGGAAGTCATCAGCAGAGAAGAAGTCCTTGTCCTTGATTTTAAAGAAGAGCTTGAATTGGTCGCCTGATCCAGGATATTCTGCTCTGAATACAAATTTCTCGTTCCACACTGGATTGCTACCTCCCTCTGCATCATTATATATGGATATAGAGTGATCAAACATATGCCATAATTTTCTGATAAGCAACACCCTAACCTATAAGTTTAGCTTTTCAACTTAGCAGCAAGTTCGATTCAATTGCAGAAAGAGAGGGAAAAACTTCTTATATATCAGCATCCTATTACTTTTATGATGAAAAAGACGGAATCAGCAAAAGCTTATAGTTATATACTAGGAAGAAAACGGAAACTTATATTCAATCTTAAGTATCAGCTGAGTGAAAAATCAGACAAATCAATAGACTATTTCAGATTTAACAAATCGTTTGGTTATTCATATTTCATTTTCCCTTCCTCCCCCCATTCCACACACACAGTATTCCACCATTTTACACGGTATTCGATTAACATGAAACTTAATCACAGCATTCTGAGAGATCAATCTTATGGATCGTCTGACAATTTCAAATGAGAGCATATACTATATGGCTTATTCGGTCAATTTGGTTAAGTACAGATAATTAATAGACCCTTCTCATGATCAATTAATCAAAATAGGAATACTCTTAGATACATACTGCTCGTCCTTTATACAATTCAGGTACAGCAGAACACAGTCATAGCGATAGCCGGGAAAATAATAAAGGAAAATGCTCAAAAGTAACTGTTATATATGATGAATAAATCCCTAGTTCAACCATGTGTATGCATGTTCAAACTGGTTCCAGCAGGACTAATTGGAGTTATGTATATACATGAATTAATGCATAGGAAAATTGAGGAAAATAAAACTAACCATGGACTACACTAGTCTGGCGCTCTTGGCCTTTGTACTGGATCAGAACGTAGGGATCGATACGAGCTATTGAGAACAGACAAATATAAGAAATGAAGATTGTTAGATTTAACATATAATAGCATGAGAAACCTGAAAATTTCAAGAAACTAGAGAATTTCAGTCAACCCCTTTTAAAATCGATGAAACAGCGAATAACTCAAGAATTGGGGATTAATGTAGAAATTCTCAAGCTATGAGTGAGAAAGATGATGAAAAGAGAAGCTAAAGCTGAAACGCACCAAAGAGATCAGACAGAGGAAGGCCCTTAGCTTTGACCACAAGCACCTCCATGAATCCGATTGCCATTAGAACTTAGAAGAATCAAACAACGAGGGGGGAAAATTAACTGACGATATAGTCGAAGACATATGTATGTGCGTGTATATATATATATATATATAGATAGATAGAGAGAGAGAGAGGGAGAGGGAGAGGGAAATAAGCTAAAGGTCGCCGTCCTACCCATTCCAGGTTTTCACATTGGTTTGTAATGGGTCAATGGCCTCCAGAAACTCTATTTGATTTTGATAATTAATTTTATCATATGAGAATATATCAACTTTGTCAGATTAAATTAATCTTATGCTTTTGTTATTATTCGTAAATAATAATCACATAAATGTTAAGCTATATGCAAATAATTCATAATATGCAATATTGTATTGGTGAAAATAATTAGGTACTAATTAACTGTATAAATTTAAAATTTGAAGAGTTTATTATTGGATTTTTAGAAGTAGCATTATTTTCGTATGATTAACTTTGAAGAAATTTATGTGTAATTTAGTCTTTAAATAATAAGAAAAATGATGAAGCATTGGTTAAAAAAACGAGCAAGGTACCGAGCCGCCAAGTAAGAAGGAATTGAAAAAGAAAAAGAAAGGGAAAGAAAGGAGGCTGGGGAAGCATAGCAGTATATGACCCCCTCTCTCGCATTTAATTTAAATTTGATACTATCTCTTTTGTATTTAATATAAGAGCTAATGACTAATTTGAATAAATTTAAAAAATTTGTTACATTAGTTATTTGTAATAAATATATTTTATTTTTTTAAAAATATCCTGACTAGTTATGTATATTGGTTAGAATTATCATTTGATGGAACTTTTAATATGTACAAACATTATAAAAAAAAAGATAAATATAAAAAACAAAATGAATTAGAATCTTATATTTATAATAAATTAAATATCAAATTATTTTTTATATTAAGTACCAAGAGTAGTATATTTGAATGATGTTTCCCCCACATGCTCATGGGAGATGCAAATTACCAATTTACAAGTTAATAAATTACAATATTTTGCTAATGCCATGGCCGACAAACGTGAAAACTCCCCCCCCCCCCTCGTAACTTAAGTAATCATTATATTCTGTAGACTTCACATTAAACAAAATCTTCAAAAAAGCACTTGGCATTATTTAAGTCACAAGAGCCAACACGTTGGTGATAGTGATTTTTTTTTACCCTCATAAAAGAAGCAGCGATTTTAAAATTGAGGGATTGGAGCATACATAAAACCCAATCCCAGTTGGTGTTGGTGTTCATTCGTGGGGGGAAAAAGCATCATCATCACCATTATATTTTATAGCATGTGTCTTTAACGATGAATCATTTCATTTATATATAATTTAGAGTTAAGTTGCGTTTAATATCCTATTTTGTTAGATACATTTAATATCTTAAAATATTTTGTGATGCACCCAATATTTTAAATTTTTTTCAGGTATGTTCAATACCCTGAAATATTTGTGATACGTATAGTATCTTGAAATAATTTTTTTGAATGCATCTAGCACTTTAAAAAATATTGAAAAAACATTTATGGTGCTTAAATATATTCATTTAACGAACCTTTTGAAGAGTTAATGATGAAATTAAAATTGCTCATAAAATAATACTCCTCCGGTCCTAATTATAAGACCCAATTGACTTATTTGAGGAGATTAAGGAAGAAGTTAAGTTGGTTATTTATAATAAATAAGTGTTGTCATTCCTAAAATATCCTTGCTAATTAAGTATATTGGCTAAAACTATCATTATTAGAAGGATTATCTTGGAAAAAAATGCATAAATATAAGAGACAAAATGGATTGGGGTCTTATAATTAGGACCAAATAAAAAGTCAAATGGGGTCTTATAATAAGGACCGGAGGAGTACTTTAAAAGCACAATTGTTTCTGAAAAATTTAATATTTTAAGAGAAAAATTACACTATAAAATATTATAGGTTACTGGATATACCTAAAAAAAAATACTTTAGAATGACAAATGCACTATAAAATATTTTATGACGCTAAACGCACATGATAAAATACATCGAGGTGCTTAATACACCTTAACCCTATATAAGATAAACAATAATCACACTGCCCAAATAGTACTTGAAAGAATGTTTGGGTGGCTAACAAGAATGGATTTATATGATCAATTACAGTTGGTCTAATCAAAAGAGTCAGTAGTTTTTCATAATATGATGAACCAATGTCTAAATCCCTATTAAGAGGAATGTCCACATTTAGTGCCTAACAACATCTTAAATATGATTACTTTCATTAGGAGAATGTCCATACAGAGCCAAAAAAAAAAAAGAACGAATTTTTATGACAAAGATGTAGCTCATATTTTTATAAAAATGTATTTTTGATTTTGCTTTCAATAACAAAAATCTTATTAGTGGGTAATAAATCTTTGGTATCCAACACAATTTTTTCCTATAAAAACTAAAATAAAATAAAAGTGTGTGTATAGTGTATTCACGTGTGGAAAAAGAGGGGAGGGAGCGAGGGAGGGAGGTGTTGGAGGGATCATATGTAATGCTACGCACTGTGGGAGTGATATTAATGAATAAAGCCATATTCAGAGAGATACCTTATTTTGACTTTATGATGTTCAAAATTGAATTATCTAATACTCCTCCGGTCCTTAATATAGGACCCAATTCTTGAGTTAATTTTGGTCCTAAATATAAGACCCATTTCTTATATTTATCAATTTTCTCTAAATTACCCCTATAAATACTCTCTCAACCATAATCAAGTAGAAGAGGGAGATGAGGTATTAAGAAAGATGATTATGGTGTTTTAGAAAAAATGTGTCACTTTTCTTATAATTAACTAACTTACCTAACTTCCTTAATATAATCAAATTAGTTAAATAGGTCTTATATTAAGGACCGGAGGAGTAACATTGAATACTAAATAACTGCATGAGAAAAAGTCATGCACAATATTAGTATGAGTTCCCTCTCCAGTACTATTCATTAGCCATCTTCTAGAATAAATTATTGATCTCATATTTACACTATGCATGACAAGAGTATTACTTTCTTTTTTTTCCAAAAAAAAATTATCCTTGTTTACACTTAAAAGGACTTCTTTAATCCATACTTCTTTTTTTTTTTTGGTTACATGAGGGGCGGGATCGAACCCGCACATTACCAACACACGCACATGCTAGGTGCCACTCCGCCAAGAGGCGGTTGGCTTTAATCCATACTTTTAAATAGGAGTAACCCTGAAAAGTTATTTTATTTTTAGATCATTTTGATGATTTAACTATATTTTTAGTTATGGCAAAGCAGTAAGAAAGGGAAAATTTCCGCTAAGCCTTACAATGTGGACTTCATAAATTTTCAGTCCCAAAGGACTCTGAGAATTTCAGTTTCCTGACCCAAAATAAAATTAAATGAACAAGTAAAAGACCATTTAGCCCTTAAAATTTGTAGAAAACATCTTATAGGCTTTATTTCATACGTAGAGTTGTTATGTTTTTATTTTTTGTTGTAAATTTTCATATTTATATATATTTTTTATTGTTTGCTGTAAACCACCATATACATATATATGTTATTTTTATATTGTTTGTTATAAATTTTTGAGTTAATGCAAATTTTGGTCTCTAAAGTTTATTTTCATTTTAGAGTGTTTTGATAAAATCCAAATCATGGTTTTAAAAATAATTTTATTGTATACAAAGTAAGTATATGAGAGGAGTTTTATCTGAATTTGCGTGAAATTACTTTTTAAAAGTGCTTTTTAAATTAATCATTGGTTTTAATTCTTTAAATTTCTTTTCGTCTAAAACATTTGTTCCTATAATTGGTTCTTATAATTTAATAAAAATATGAATTTTTTTACTCATTGAGAGACCAAAACCTATGATTTGAAATTTGAAGGATTAATACCAAAATGAAGTAAACCTGAACGGCCAAAGATTATGTTAGTTGTTACTTTTCTATTTAATATTGTAAATGACCACATGTATAGTTGTTATTTGTCTATTCTTTGTTATAAACTTTTACACGTGGAGTTGTACATTTTCTATTCCTTGTTGTAATTTTTTGTATAAAGAATTGTAATTTTTTCACTATTTTTTGTTGTACATTTTTATACGGGGGGCTGTGCATTATGTCTTTTATGGGCTATAATGGCCATTTCAGAATCTCCTGGGACTGAAATTCATTGGGTCCACATGATGGGATTTAACTGGAATTCTCCCAATAAGAAATACCCTATATTTTGGATTAATAAAGCTAAATCAAACAATCAAGATCCAATCCATCCGTGTGAAACTCATTATACAGAACTAATATTAGATGAATGTACCATCATCCGGGGCAAGCAAGGATCAAATGGGGAAAGATTGGTTGATAAACAGCGAGGCGGCAAAATCTTCTGGCAGCATTTTCTTTCAAATAGTAAAATTAGTGGTAACCTGGGGCTTTCGTCCTCCCAACTCTAATTGTTGCTTATTTAATTCTAATCCATCCCTACTCCTGTTGAAAATTTTACTTTTCATCCCCGTCATGATGCAAGTATATTGCTCTTTTAGGACTTCACGTTTTGTAGTCCCTAGTTTCACAAGGTGAAAAAAAAAAAAAGAAGATAAAAATTTGAAACTGAAACGCTGTTCAAAATTCTTTTGGACAATTGGTCCAACAGCTGACATTGAATTGAAATGGAAATGACTATTCAACGGTAAACGCCAAAATTATAGAATGATTCCAACAAAATGAATCTGGCAGATTGGCTAGAGTTTGGCTAGCCTAACAAACATCAATTTAGAAGTCATTGATGCCGTGCTTGAACCTATTTATACGTTCTTGGAGTGAGGCAACCACCCCTAATTTGGATCTTTTCTAAAACCTTCCGGAGAATGGCCTGGAATTTGGAATTCAACCTTCAAGATTAGTCAAAAATAAAGAAACGAGTCTAGATTTTACAGTCATATTAAGTTCAAAGGCCGAAGGAAATTCCTAATGGTCAGATTCCATTCTATTTCACACCAGTCCATTTATTTCCGTGATAAAATAATACTGCAAGACCAAATTCACAACTTAATTATTATTAATATACATTTAATAATCAGACTACGGGTATTTAACAGCACTTACCACTCAAACAACACCAATTTACAAATAGAACAATGAGTATTTACCATTAGTAGTCCTTAAAAATAAAATATTCGTGAACTTGGCCCTCCAGCATAATTTTCCCTAATTCCATTCTCATCCTCTTTCTATGAACGAAAGAGGCCCTAAGGAGAAAGAACCAAAATTTTGATTTGAAGTTTCACAATTAACCAAAATCAACCAGTTTTTAAATTTTATAATAATATCAAGTTCAGCACGCTCAGAGTAGCAAATCAATTCTTAAGTCTGAAGATAACATCGCTTAAAATTCAAGCAAGATACAAAGGTTTGTATAGGTTCTCATATATTCATGGAATTGTACAGAAGCCCAGCATCACATTGCCAACCATCTGCAGCATGCACCACAAAAACTATCAAGAAAATGTCAACCCAACGGAGAAACAATCATCTTGCGAAGAAAATCTTACTATTAAACCACTTTACCTCATCTGCCATGTCTTGGAGACAAATCAGCAGACCTTGATCTTGACCCAATGGGTGATCTTGATGCTCTGCGTGGTGATTGTCCCCACTGGCCTCGTGCAGCCTCAGATTCATACATAGATTTCCTTTTATAGGATATACAAGGAAAACACAATCAACTCCCTAAAATCAGGAAAAGGACAGAAACAACGCATGTAACCAAGAGCTAAAAACACAAGCACACGTCAAAGACTCACTCATCATATCCATTGGCAGCATGATAATCTGGGCCATTGCCATAACCTGGAGAATATGACCTGCGCTTTTGATCACCATCTCGCTCCACAGAAGGACCCCTTGGTGACCTAGGATGCACACCACGTGGTCTAGGGGAAACAGAATAGTCACCTCGCCTTCTAGTGGTAGGAGAGTAGGACCTGACAATGTCAAATCACAAGCATGATCAAATGCCTCTATGATGCTATAGAACAAAATGTTTTCATATTCTAGACCTCACCTTGAATGGTATCTACTTCTAGAACCAGAGTGATAACGTGGGGAGCGTGATCTTGACACTGAACGAGATCGGGATCGTCCTGATACATATTAGATTAAGAACAGATTCCATAAAATATACAATACAAAAACCTCATTCATTTAAAGGGTTTCCAATGTAAAATGAGTTTAGTTTGTCAGTGATAGGGAAGAAAAATATAAAGTAAATGTCCTCCAGGTGAGTGGAAAAGGCTTCAATACACAAAATAGATTTATTATTAAAGCACGTCCTGAGGAAGGTGCCTAAACCATGTCCTTGATTTGATCCATGTTGATAACCATTTTTTGGGCCAAAACTAAGTCATATCAATCATTGATTCAATCCCCCAGTCCATCATGAAAGCAGCCTACAAGCCCCTAATTAAACAGCTTTTAATAAGCTAATTAGAAGAAATGGTAGACAAGAAAATTCCAATAAATGAAATTACTTTTCAACAACTCAAGGTCAATGATGCAATCCGGACACCACTGAAGAGGACAGACTTCAACATAAATGCAACAGACTTTGCATGAACAAAACAAGACAATTGAGTATCAGGTATGATTGGAAGTCAGCAAGTACATCATGGATAAGTCTTGAACCTTTATATATGAAATTTATCTATTATATAGAAAACATAAAGCGTTGTTTTGAAATGTCAGGTTAGCAGTCCAGAACGACTACATATACACCTGTCCTGTTCCTTCCGGAAAAGTGTAATGGCCTAGTGGAACCTATTCGTATTTGATGAATCATAAATTTTGACAGAACTTTAACAAAACCTACACCCAAAATCGGTGATACGAAGAGCTCCCCGAATTTTATAACAAATATCAATATATAATCAGTGGTAAAATTTTGAACTTGCAATTCATTCTTTTGTATATATCTAAACATGATAAACAACATAAACTTCACGCGCACCCAACAAATATGATAACTCTAATGAAGCAAGGGGGAAAAAAATCAGATTGCATTGACTGGAAGCTGCTTATTAACACTGCGGGGAACCTCTTCAGTTTTAGACAACAAGAAGTATTAATTCCGAAAATCACTGCAGTTTGGAATATTTAAAAAAATCAATTTTTGAAACAACATACCATAATAAGCTGACCTTCGCCCCCCATAGCTTCCTGGTCCTCTGTATAAGGTAAATGATACAAATATAATTAAAGAGAACTATCTTAGACATGAGCCAAATATGTTGTTTTCACCATAAGAAAGCAAGACATCAAATAAAAAGTAGAAGAAATACCTTGTCCTTGACTTCTGACGCATCTCCTCTGGTCTTTTCCTTGACTCTGCAGCAACAACTACAGATATTTCCCTTCCAGCAAAAATCTGTCCATTCATATGATACTGCGCCTCTGAAGCATCATAAGGATCCACAAATTGCACAAATGCAAAACCACGAGGCTCTCTGTATAGGAGAAACAAGTAGACCACCATTATAAGAATGTTAGACCAAACACTGGCAAAACTACACTGTAGATTACACTTATGGTTCAGAATTTGCATACCCAGTAATCACTGCAAATTACATTACTTAGTAATAAATATAGCATTCACTAGAAAATGTGTAACTGCAGAGACATGAACACAGCAGGATGTTGAATTAACCAAAGCCGCTAAAATCCAGGCTCAGTGGCTGACCTTTTTCTATACATTCAAGTAGTAAAGGCAACTTCAAAAAGGCAAGTGACTTGAAAATTCTTCAACACTTGAATTTATAAGCAATTGAATTCAACGTTCCCACAAACTTAAAAACATCTTCATGAAGTCTTCAATAGGACAAGTATCAATCTTCTTCCATCAAACTTCTATTGATAGTGTAATTATCTAAGTTCTCTTCACATAGGAACACTCTTCGCATGAACATTTATAAACTTGGGAACCAATATGTTAGGCAATGATAAACAGTGAGAGTGGATCTCCTCAATTGTGGGGCTTGGTCTTGTTATACTTCAATTTCAAACCAACATACCCCCTGACAAACCAGTACAAAATTAATTCATGAATGGAAAGTAAAATATTTAGGAAAACAATAAAATTCAGTTCAACAGAAAGAAACATCCGTCCCCTACTTTGACAATGATTTAAGAGGACAGAAAATACAAGAAAACCAATAATTGACTGACAATTCAATTATTCTTACCAATCTGGAGAGTTTCACCTGCAAGTATTCAGTAAATTCTTTCATGAAATATTATATACTTATATTTCATACAAGGTCAAAATCTTAGCATAGCTGCAAAAGGAAGACACTAATCACAGATGCATAACACTCCCCGATTATTGCTTAATACAAGTTTAAGGCACATACTCAGAGTAAAATATTCCCGCCAAGGTAGCTAGTAGCAGCTCAAGTGAACATCAAAGTATAACGAAACTAATTCTGGGTGCTTAATTAGAATCTAGAGGTAATAAATACAGTAATCATAAGCTTTATCAACTATTACAAATGAGCGGCTATCAGTATTACTTGCTCTCAACCTTTACTTTTAGTGATGCTCAAAGTTGCAGTGAGCCTCTATCAGTATCTGTTGTTGCAAAAGTGCCACATTGCCGTGGAAGGCAAAATTCGAGCCACTTTATACTAGCAATGGCACTCAATCGGCAAGCAAGACTATAATGCCCCAGCTTACTAAATTGACACGAAGATTTACACACTTTGACTTCAGAACACGAAAGAGATATAGTAATGACGAGGGGGGAAACTAAAGCAGGCCAATGCGAGAGATCACCCGTTTCCCTGAAATATAACTCACCCAGTGTAATAGTCCTTCGGTAGATAGACATCCCGGACGGGTCCAAATCGCTCAAATGGAACTCGAAGTTCCTCAGGTCTGAAAACAATGATAGAATAGGATAACATGAGAGTCGAGATAATAAGATTTACAGCATGCATGCACAGCACAATCACATATAAATAATTTTACCGGCAATCGAGAGGAATGTTGCGAACCAAAAGGCTCCCATGATTTTGTTCCCTTCGTCTACCTCCACCATATCCCCTCCTGGGAGGGCTTCTCCCTCCCCCACCATATCCTCTCCTAGGAGGACTATAGTATGCTGGACTGTATCTCCGCATCTTATCGCCTAATAGTGATACAAAGTTTGCAAATTTAAGCAACAATATTAAAAACACAAATTACAAAGACCAACTGATGATAATTACCTCGTCAGAACATCAAACATAAAAATCAAATATACAGGTAAAGGGAACATGAATCATTTAAATTGATCAGATAAAAGACGAGACTGAGACGCTCAAGGCCCGCCAAAAGTCTAAGTTTCACAAGAGGGACTAGTGAAGATTGATATATCAAGATCAACTTCAAAAACAGCTGAAACGTGCAAAAGCAATACAAATCAAACCAACACAATATTCATCTGCTTCGGGTATCATAAAGGATGAAATGGAATACCAATGATTACCTTCGCAACAGCGCCTGAGAGTGCGAGAGAGAGAGGAAGACCGAGCTCAGAAGTCAATTGGATTCCGTCCCTGAAAACAACAGCGAACCTTCTTATTTAAACCCTAGGTGCCGGAACCGCGTCGTTTCGGCTGGGAAAACAAAAGGGCAATTCAACTTGGGCGAGAAAGCGAAACCCAACCAGCTTAATTTCAATTTGGGCTCCAAAAATTGGATTCGGAACTTAACTAACGAAGCCCACAGAACTTAGGCCCATAAAATTTGTGCTCTCGGGGGAAGAAAATCCATCAGCTTTCTTGTATCTTCTACTTTATTTTTTTAATCATAAAAGTGTGGTTCTAATCATATAATTTTATATAAAATTTTAGTTTTATCTGTTAATTTTATAAAATATTTGTAGTCCTCTGAACCCATTATTATTAGTCTCAGATCATAATTTTTGTGTGTCAATTATTATTATTTTTAGACATTAAACATAATTTGTCAGTATTTGAAAATATTTTGTTAGCATTTAAAATTGATGACAGAATTTTTATTAATTAAATTAATAAATTTTTAGTCATATGACTGAAAAAATACTATTTAAAATTAAGAAATTAAAATAAAATCTTACAAAAATTAAAAATATACTTTTGCGTTTTTCTAGTTAAACAAACTCGATTTCAAGTTATATTATTATGTGTAATTACAATGTCAATAATCAATAAATTTAAAAATCACTTGTTTTAATTAGAGGTTTATAAATCATTTTTGGACAAATTACTTAGTTATATATATTTTTTATTATTGAATTTTCAATCCAGACATGTAGGCGCATGATGATGTATATCATGGTTAAAAAGCACGTGTTTTAATTAAGAATTAAGAAAATTTGTATTATAAATATAATTTTATTCTCTTAAATATCGGGTCCACACACAATTCCATATTTTCTTTTTGGTATTATCTAGAAGGAGATTAAACGTAAATACTTGAGAAGGAAACTTTGTGACGATAAATTAAAGGCACAAACAACCCAGTAGTAGTCTTTATTACTACACAACATCAATATTAAAATTACTGATCATAAACAGACAAAAAAAACCACAATCCCAAAAGCATCACAAACATATTATCCAACAATTTTGCCTAAGGAGTGCAGTTTTTATTTCTATCTTCTCATATCCTTCGACCAATTTCATGTTGTCTTTTCTTCATTTTGGGAAGTCAATTGATACCACTGAAATTGGAGGAAGTGTGACGTTCATGTTAGCCTGAGGATTCTCCAATAGACTTTTCGATGGTACAACCTATATACAAAGTCACACACAAACATATATATGTAAGTGTAATTTCAGAATGAGCTTTAAATTTACACTAATTTTCTCCAGTAAATAACTTAATACTCAAAATGATTTTTTAAAAAAATCATAAATACCTTAACGGGATTGTAAAAGCTATTCTCGTCTCTAACATTGCCAGAAGTGAGCAATGTAAGTGTGGAGCCAGAGAGATCCATATTGGAGTCCAAGCCATCAATTTTAATGCTAAGAGTGGTTGCTCGGTTAGCAAAATTCACAACCTAACAGAAGCATTTCAAATCTATATTAAGCTAAAAATTAACTCCCAAATAATTAATTTTAACTCCAGAATTGAATATACCTTAATTCTCAAATAATTCCTATGATTCGCCTTATCTTGCCAAACAATTGCAGATGCGACAATAGAGGACGGGGCTTTGAGTTTTGAGTTAACATATGTTGCTCCACTTGATTCTGTGAAAAGTCGTTGCAGCCAATAACTAGGAATTCCGTAGCTTCGATATGAATCAAACACAATTGCATCTGGTCTCCATCTATATATTCACACAAAAATTACCTAATTTCAATCGAAGTGCATGCATAAAAATTTATATACCAAAGCAATTAATTCAAATGTATTACTTTTGGTCATTATAATTCACAAAAAGTGGTGCATAAGAGACCATTTCCACAAGATCACTGCAGCATAAATATCAATATGTTAGCATTTGAGCCATAGAAAATATAACCATTTAAGTCATTAAAACATATTCAATGATTTTAAGGAATAATAAACCTGTTCTTCTCTAATCCCATGAGGAATGCGGCTTCTCCTAAGGCAGATAAGAGGGATCCAAATCCAGCATCTTCTCTCCATACAGCGTACTCACTAATAAAAGCCTTGGCGCCAATGCGTCTTACAGAATCAAACTTGTTGTATTTTGAGAAAATATCCTCAGCAGTTGTATAAATATGATAGTCAAACAAATCCGCTGGGTGATCCAATGGTTTCACAGTAGCATCACAATTTGAGATTATTTGCATATCTGAATAGTGATGCTTGATGGCTTTATAAAATTTAAGATAATTCCCTTGATAATTATACATGTCACAATCCTCATTTCCTATAGCAACATATTGTAGATCAAATGGTTTAGGATGTCCCAAAGAAGCTCTAATCTTGCCCCACTTTGATGTGACTGGACCTTTAGCAAATTCTATACCATCAAGAGCTTCCTGTTAAATGATTAATGCAAAATATTAGTCCAACTTAATCAATTAAAAATAAAGAGGAAGTAAGAATTTTTAAATTATACTTGAACAAAAGGACCAATCTCAGTTGTATTGATTTCTTCTTGGCGAGCAATTCCAGCATTAAATACCCATACTGGTAGTGCATCAAGGTCTTCTGCAAGCTTTTAAAACACAACAAATTGTAACAATTTATCGATTATTGATTTTTTTACATACAGAAGAACAAAATAATATAATGAACTGGAAAAAACTTAAAGGACATACTTGAAACATCTCTAGAAAACCCAAACCATCATCCGTCCAATAATCCCATGGATCATTAAAGTGACCAGGTCTATTTTCCCAAGATCCAATGGTTTCTTTCCACCTAAATGCATTTCTCAATTTTTGCCCTTCAACATAGGTACCACCTGATGCAATGCAAGATATAATTAATAATTAAATTAATTATAACATCTTTAAAAAATACAAATTTAGAGGATGCATAATTTTACATTAACATCATAGATACCTGGGAAACGAACAAATTTTGGTTTCAAATCCGCTACCATTTGATATAAGTCCTTCCGAAAACCATGTCCCTAAAATAATGAAAAAAGGAAATTTAAACATAAAGAGAAGTATAAAATAACAAATATGTAATTTAATATAATTAAAAAATTCTATTTCAAATATTACGGACATTATAGGTGTCTGTTGGCATAGCTGAGACTTGATCCAACCAAATCACTCCCTTTTTTGTGGTTGTAATTTGCAAACTAGAATTAAAATCCGATCCAATGGCTTCAAGAGTAGTTTCCATCCTTCTCCACTTTGAAACATCACTTGCAGATGCCCTGCATGAATCCATCAGTCAAGTAGCTGATACACACACACACGCATATAATAATTACCAAAGAGAGTAAAGGCAATCAATAACCTGATATTAGTAGAAGCTAGTTCATGGCCAAGTGTTCCTTTGAATGAGACTTTCAAATCAATTGGTCCTAATGCTCTAACGTAGAAGATCACTTTGTAATTTTTCCCTTCTTCAATAGACTAGGGGAACAACACATGCAAATAAGATAAAGAATTAATCTAAGATAGTTCAACCACAAGGAAAATAATGATATATAATCAAGAGCTAAAAAACATAGTCATACCATGCCCCAAAATCCAGGGTTAGAGAGGCCAACACCATGTGGGCAATCTTTAGAAGATTCACAGAGGATATCAAGTCTCACTGCAACTTTATTACGAGGAAAAGGAGAGGCAAGCTGCGTTTCTACACGAACAGTGGATTCATTTCCAACAATTGACCAAGGTGAAATACTTGAAGGAACACTTGTTCCACCAGCTTCAAATCCTTCAAAATCATAAGCTTGCATTTACTTAGTTATCAAAACATTACATTGCAAAAGGGAGAAAGGGTTTGAATCCTTGAGAGTTAGGCGAACTGAAAGTTGTATAATTAATCACCTCTATTCCTTACAAGTTCTGACCATAACCCTCCAGATCCAGCATGATTAATCTCCTGTAAAACAATCATTTGGTTAATTACTTATACAATATTGTGTGTATAAAACAAATGATGCAAAACATATGTTTGTGTCAACCTCGAAAAATACTCCAAAAAAGTGTTTAGAAATTGGCCATCCAGATTCAAGATTTACAGACAGCGATGCGTGCTTTGCCTTGTGCTCTGCATTGCATAGAGAAGCAAAGGCAAAGAATATGAACAGAAGAACAAAAGCTCTGAAAGATGGCATCTTTACGTAATACAGACAATAATTCACACTTAGGATTGCGTCTATTTCATTTGTGCTAACAAGTATTTATAACCAAAGAGGTGATTAATTAGGATCAAAATAGACTTGTTATAGCTTTCTTTTTTGGACCAAGTGATGGACTTATTATGGTTAATAGAGATCTTATCCTATTTCCTTTCTTTCCATTTATCCTAATAAGAGATATAACCTTACGTGTCTCCTCGTTTCTTTATTTTTTCTTCTGGTTTTTCGCAATTGTTTCTATGTGTATTCTTTAATGTATTAATCTAGTTCTGTGCTGCAAATGTTAAAAACTGTATATTTTTTTTAGTGACGTATAAAATTTCTTTCGGCCAACCTAAAGTATAAATTAATCTTCGAGATTATTACTATTTTCAGACTTCTAATTATCCGCACATTCTTTAGCGTATTTAATTATGTGATAATCAAGGAAATCCTTGTGTACATTGTGTTTGATAAAAAATTTTTAGAGTGGATATATCCAGGTAATTTCGGGAAACAAAATTTATATTGAATGAAGGTTTATCCAAAATTACAATTTTTTTCAAATCAAATGAATGTTGTAAAACATTAAAATCAAACATATATCATAATCAAAAAAAAAATCAAACATATATCTTTGACATTTAAGTCATCAATTAAATGTGAGTTTCTCCACATTTACTTTCATGACATTCGATTTTGCGTGAATGAATCAAATATTAAAGCATATTAAATTTTGGTTTCCTGATATATGAATATTACGAGAAAATATAACTTTTTTGGGGTGCAATTCAAAAAGCAATCAGATTTGATGTTATCTTTTCCTTAAGATGGTAAAATGAAGACATTGAATGGGTTGAAGTAAAGCCTTATCAAATACATGTCATATCATATGTACAATGTTTTTTTAAAAAAAAAGAAAGAAAAAAAGATGAACATTTGATATGTTTTTATGATACTTACTTATTCATGATCCTTTTTTATATATTCATTTATTTTTTTGCCAACCACGATTCTTTTTTATATTGTTTGTTTTAATTAAGATATACAGGTGACTCGTGAACCATATTAAAATTTCACATTGTGTTGCAATCACGCTTATAAAGAGTGAATCTGTATTCTGCTTTTCAAATTTTCAAAACTAAATGAATCATTATTGAATTGATATATACTTATTTGGAATTCATTAGTCTTATTATTTTCAGGTCAGCACTCAAAACTGACTAGTTTGGCTATAATCGGATTGTAATTGAATTGACCATAATAAATTAATTTAATTTTAATTTAATTTGTACAGAAAACTATTAAATGGAAAACAAAAAATTATATTCATTATTGTTTTACTAATTTTGAATTGTCTTTAAAGGGCTGAACTTTTTCGAACCTAGTAAGAATTTGAGATTTGACTTGCAAACTCACAGATCAAAGAGGCTAATTCAGTACCTATAGCTTTTAAAAGTACGTCCATTTGACATTATAATGGGAATGTGGTAGGTAGAATTCTCAAAAGTACTAAAGTCTAGTTCTTGCTAAGATTGTTGATATTTTATTTTGTATAAAGTGGGAATATTACAATGAAGTATATTCTAATTCATTAAATACATGTTAGTTAAAAAAATTTGGCAAATTACTTTTTTTTTTTACTACCAATTATATCCTTTATAAAGAATTCAAACTCGTCACCTCAGGCTTGAGAAAAATTTCATAAAGACATTATTAGATTATAAGATTCTGGCTAGTGAATTGCTATTCCATTAAACTAGCTAATACATGTTTGTCTACGTTAAATCATCGTAATAGATAGGAATATAATTGTATTAAATGTATCATATATATTTTGATAATTTAATAATTAATAATGGGGTCCAAATTAAAGGGTGATGCAAGGAAATGTGACCCATTTATATCAATCTTGTTGATCCAACCATTGCTCATGCTTTTGTGTTGAGATTTTATTATTATATTTAGCATTATCGTCATCATTATTATTGCATGGTGTCTCATTTACCCATAATAATTTGCAGTATAATGCAATACTTAGAAGTCATGACTAGCCAGTTAATAGGTGGCCACTCTTCCACTGAGGACAAAATGGGAAATTACATTCCAATATTCTGAGCCTATGACTTGAATGAATTTGAAGTTTCCTTGTCACTCTCGGAACTTCTTCATAATAGCTCCATTCCATGTCTTGTTTCATAGGAACCTGCTCTATTTTTCATTATATTCTATCTATATATATACACTACATATGTTACAAATAATTAAATTCCATAAATATATAAGAAGCCGGTTAAAGGCATAAATATATGAAAATGTATTTTTTTCTTAATATATTCGTATTTATAGAGAGGCTGAGCGAGAAAAAATGAGTTAAAAAAAAGAGAATAATTAAAAAAAAAGAGACACGTTATACATGTAAATTGTAACTTAATTATAAAAAGGATACTAATAACGCGAATATTATAGTGCAGGGAGCACTAATTTCTTCACTATTAAATAGCATTAATGTCATTTAAGGATATACTGCCAATTCATACAGAATGGTAGAATGAAAAGCACTCAACATTGAGGAAGTGTGGTTAGAGTGCCATAGATGGTGCTAAATTGGTAACTCACTTTCAAAATGTTTTATTAACATTAAGAAAAGCCTAAATTTTATTAACTTTCTCTTAAGATTTGATAATTTAATTTTACCTCTATTTAATGTATACACTTTTTAAAAAAATAATCTACACAATAATAATAAAATGTGAAATAGTATATTTATGTTAAAAATTCAAGAATCAAAATAAAACTCCTCTGTTTATCTTATAAATAAGATTAGAGTACTTCATACCTCTAGCAAATCCAATGGCCAATACCTCAAACGCTAATCACAAATTCACAGCATATCCACAAAATATCACCAGTAGAATTTCGAGTTTTTTTAAGACTATTACTTGTCATTATATTATATGGTATCTCAAAAGAAAAAAAAAAGAACCTTCTGATACGCAATATAAGTTTTTTCTCTCAACTTTACTTAGTTCTGATAATAAGTGGAACTTTTATAACATCTAGAGCATTTTTTTTTTTCAATGATAAGGGTAAATTTATGAAGTACAACAAATTTTTTCTTACGTCAACTTCTATTCTACCACCACTTTAAGTTCGTATGATTCTGTTTTTGCCACAACTCTTAGTCTGTACTACTATGATAGTTAAATTGGATCTATGACCTATATTATGAAACAAAGGAGTATATAAATAAGAATTTTAATTGTCTGAATCAGGAATTCTAAGAGAGAACAGAAGTTAAATTGAGTTCGGTATTCTTTGGTTTGCCTCACCGCTTGCTATTGTGGTGCATGAGCTAAATGTGGTTTCTTTTGATTTTTGGCTTGCTAAAATCTTGCATGACCTTAAGCAGGATGACTTTTTGAAAGCTGTGGTGGCCTATGTGTGTTGGTACATTTGGAAGGCCCGTTGTGGTTTGATTTTTGAGAACAAAAACCCAGATCTGAATTGGATCTTAATTGCTGCTTCTACTGGTGTAAATGAACTGTGGCGTGTTAAGCGCTGGAGTGAATCTCATTCGGTTTCCTCAGCTAATGAATTAGAAGATATGGTTTGGTCTCCTCCTCCTCCTAATAGTTTAAAATTAAATGTTGATGGCTCTTTTGTAATAGGTACAAATCGTAGTGGTGTGGGCTTTGTACTGCGAGATGCTCAGGGCCAAGTGGTAGATCTATTCTGCCAAAAAGGTAGAGTGCTATCAGCTTTTGAGAGTGAAGCTGAGGCGTTACATCAGGCTATCTTTCGCTATAAAGATAGAGAGTTAGGCAAGGTGGATGTGGAATCAGACTGTCTTCCTTTGGTAAAAGCAATCAAGGAAAATACTCATTGTCCTGATTGGAAAGCAAACGGGCTGGTTGCTGATTTAAAGGGCTTTTTTGCTTCCTATACAGACTCTAGCTTATCCTTTGTTCCTAGAAAGTGCAATTTGGTAGCTGATTGGCTAGCCAAATCTGGTTGTAAGGGGATGTGGTCTTTTGGTTGGGAGTTGGCTCCCCCATCCCCTCTTTTGATCTTGCTTACTTCTGATAGGTCGAACTGTAGAGAAGGCATAGGATGAAACTCTGTTTCTTTGGAATTAATATACATCGTTTCTTTGACCAAAAAAAAAAATGAGTTCGGTATTCTATTGCTTTGCTTGTCAAAGACGTGCTTGCATGCAATGTTTGTTAATTCTTTTAGGACTAATATATATTCTCATTTTAGTTTTAATCCTTCAAATTTTAAACCATAGATTTTACTCTCTCAAAAAGTAAAATAATCTAAGTTTTTATTATATTATAGAGACTAATGCTTTAAATAAAAAGACAAAAATTTACGACTTAAAACTTGAGAGACCAAAAACAAAATAAGCACAAACTTAAAGGACCAATATCTATATTAACATGTTCTTTTATTACTATTTTAAAAATAATCCATTCATTCATCATAATTTAATTGACATGGTTTATATCAAAATTTTCCCCCAAATAAAAACGTTTACATCAATTTTTTTGGCCAAAATATCAAATTTTAAAAATTGAGTGTCGCTGCCATGAACATGAAAAGAATATTAAAGTTAACGTTACACAAGACTAATGGCTCATGTTATAAACTTTTTTTTAATTTAGTTATCAAATTCGTTTTCTTCCACTATCACATTTACATTTTTCATCCCTCACAATCTCTCACCACCACCGCGAAGATGATATCTAGTTTAGCATATAACGAATCAAAAAGATGAACAGCAATCACCAATTTCCTGAAGCCAGTAAAAAGGATTGAAGCACGAGTTCAATCCAATCAACTTACCTAATCAGAACCGAGAAGCAGATGATCTGGGTCTAATAAGTACCAGCCTCATTCAAAGATTCATTAGCACTTCTCTAATGTTGTTTAGGAACGCTATTATTGCTTCTGCTTGAGCTACCTGTGTCACTGGAATCCTGAACCAGTTCCAA